TGTGCACCTGATGATGATAATAATGATAATAATGATGATGATGATGATGATGATGATGATGATGATGATGAAGTATTTATATAATTATCAGTCTAAAACTTATACATTGATAATCGAAAACTTCGTCATCTGATAGTTCACGACTCTTGCAGATCTCAAAAATAGATATTGATATTAGTTTTTCTTCTTTTTTGTTATTACTAATAAATCGGATCGGATCGGATCGGATCGGATCGGATCGGATCTGTAGCTACTTGCCTTTAAATACGGCAATTGGTAGCTTTTGTCTCTGAGACACTTTTCCAATCAAATACACGTCAAATGTTTCGAGTGACCAGCGCTTTGCCCATACATCAGTCAGTTTCCTGTTTTTGACTATTCATAGGGCAAGCAGACTATTCCATAATTGAACAGATCGCTAACTTTAGTCATTCATAGTACATACATGGTAGCTGCAGCGACATTATAATAACTTTAACGCATATATGTAAGTGCATAAGAAGATAATAAATTTTATTTCTTATATATATTATAAATGATGCAAAACACTATTGATTGAGTCTTCTTATTGGATCTTTCTGACTGTGTACGTTTTATGTAAACAATAACAAAGTTAACATATCTTCTGAGAGTGAGTTTGTAATAAGGAAAAATAAAATGCACACATATGGTTGCAATATGAAATTCACTTGCTGTCTTCTGATGTTTTAAAAATTCACAATGTGTCAAAGGAAAAGTAAAAGAGAATAGTGAAGAAAAACAAAAAAAAAAAAAAAAAAAAAAAAAAAAACGACTAGAATAAAATAACACTTATTATGCAAAATCAATTCTCAGAAGCGTCTGCCAAATGTCAATGACAGTTTTATAGAGCAAATAATCTCAATAAAAGTACATTTACATGTTTGTAGATACGTGTGTGTGTGTGTGTGTGTGTGCATGCATAGAAATGCATTCATGTAAAGTACACCAAGGAAGAATAGATTGCAACCAAATTATACTAAATTTGAATTAAAGAGAGCGATGGTCAGGTGCAATCGATACGATTTTAATATGTTCCATGGGAAACAGTTACATTTTGACGTTTGCGAAAGTTTCTCTTCTCTTTTTAAAATGACAGAAAGTGATTTTTATTTTCATTACGCACAATACTTAAGAGTCTCAATTCAAATGAAGTAAGGGGCGTAATTATCTTAAACATGACTCCAAGTTTCCTTAATTCCCATACATTATATAACAATGTGTTATTTTTATTTTTCTATTTTTATTTTTTTTTCATACAAATAAAGATTCAAAGGATTTTAAGATTCGTACAATGGAAAATTCATTGTAAGTATTAGAAAATAAAAGAAAAGTGTTCACCTTAACTACGATAATTACAAGAATAGGCGGAATTGTTATGCATTATGAGTTGGAAAAGTTTAGCTCTGGAACTTGACGTTAGGTTTCGTATTTAAATTGTATTTGATGACTTGGAATATATATCAAAAGCTATGCTTTTTGAATAAAAGTTAAAAGAAAAATAACAGACAACATTTTTATGATATATGGCCTGAGTCATACTGATATGAGGAGGTGATCTTCTTTTTAATGCCTTATTACTACAAGCTAGGCCTACCTGATACACATAAGTGTACGCTTAAAGACTCGAATGTCAAGAGGGAAAGTCATTAATTTTTCATGGCAAATGGGACTTATTTAGTCGAGACTTAAACCTACGTAATTGATATTGACTCCAATTCTGTCATATGCATTGTATTTTCATCGAGACATTGAGAATTATTTTCTTATTTCAATTTAAATGAAAGAACTGTTTACCTGTTTAATAGGTCAAGCTTTTTGATTTTTCGGAATAAATAATATTCAAAGAGAAATGTTTAAGTAACGTTCAATGCTTTATGGGTTGCTCAATTCTTGATCGTGACCACATTAAAAATGTTCATACATTTTGTTTGTCAAAGGATTTACTCGATTGGGAAAAAAAGAAAAAACAAGGGCAAAAGAACTATTCCATGTTTATTCGAGGCAACAGGTTCTAGCCATGATACGTTTAAAACATTCCAGCATGAAGCATGCAAAGGAACCCTTATAATCGCCGATGATTTGTAATATTTTTAATTCGCGAACACGGCTGACAAAAAATGCAAAATAAATTAAAAACATAAAGCTTTTACTTTATGATATGTACGTTTTCTTCCTTCTTCACGATCCCTTCAAACTAACACAACTTATAGTTTGAATTAAAAACGTCTCGCCGGATAAGATGGATCCAGTGATCGTAATTTTATGCAAAAGAATTTTATGGAAAATTAAATCTATATGAACCTTGATGAAAAATTTGTCGCATTCAGTCTTGATCACTGCAAAATTCAAATTTAAAGCTGATACTGAAGCAGAGAACATTTCACTTTTTGCTTAAGTATTCAAGATTTAAACTTAAACGAATACAAATTATGTTACATAAATTTACGGGATTTAATGATTTTATAGTCGATCCATTAGAAGCTTGCTTATCGAATTCTCAAAATCTCTTCGTTTTAAGTTTTGTTTTTTTTCTCATCAATTAAGGATTTTATTTGCTGTAGCCGTAAACGTGTTTAATTTGATTTTATTTGATTTTTGATTTTCGTATTAGCATTGCATGCAACGTAATTCCCAGTTACATGCGGCTATAGTAAGAGTTATTATTATTTATCTTTATGTTTATTTATTTATCTTACTTTCATAAGTGTGCGTACTCTATACCTCACAATATTCATTTCAAAACGAATTATGAACACCAGTCGCCTTGAGTATGCATTTAGAATGTAAAGTATAAATTATCATATACACATACATATATATATGTATATATATACATATATATATATATCATGTATATATATACATATATATATATATCATGTATATATATATATATTTATAGTAGGTGCTTGCATGTATTTTGATCATATATTCATCTGAAAAAGGCATTTACTGAGAATCATTGGAGCAACATATACTAATCAAATTATTATATGTCCCATTATTTCTTACAGCTTTTTCCCATCCCTCTGGCAAAATATCGATACCCTGTTCAAAGAACGATATTCGACCCATTTTCATATTTCTTCAACATTTCGAAATTACATGCCAGCCGAGCTGCATATGCTGCATCTGTCTGAATAAGCGGTAATCAGTAGGTACTATGTCTTCTGAGAACGTTGGACAATTCTTGACAATTCGTATATCGTGCGGTCGAGCATTGTAATGCCTTTGCATGTGGTGGCCGCAAAAAACTGAATGATGTATAATAATATTTTTTGCAACAATACATCGCTCAGTTTGTTTAATTGACGTCGGAAGAGATCTACAAGAACAGTCTTATTCGCTTTTAGCTACCATACGCATAGCAAAACTTTATGGCTAAGAATGATATGCATAGTTCTCCGGTATTAATCCACGACCGTTTGCGTTTGGAAAAGTCGTAGTAGATCCACTTTTCATCGCCAATGACAATACGCCGCATAAGACTTTAATTTTTTGGCCTGGCAAGCAATGAACTCGCGATGTTGAAATGGTGCGCGGAATGATTCCTTTCAGTCCCACTTTTCCCTCCTTTCGGATCTTTCCCATCGTGTATAAACGTTTAGACAGTTTAAACAGTCGATTCCTCAACTGCTAAAATATTCGAAAGTTCTTTGAGACTTTGAGCTGGATTTTCGTTCAATAAGTCGAAGCAATCCATTCAGTCTCTGAACTTTTTTGCTCCTCCAGGTCGTTCTTTGTCATTAACATCAAAATCAAAATTTTTAAATCGTTGCAATCGAAACCGACAACCGGGACGGGACATCATCCATAAGCTTCTAAAAGTGTATGATAGGCTTCGACAGCAAATTTCTTCAAAACGAATAACAACGTAATGAATGTCGAAAATGCAATTTCGAGAGTTCGATGATTAGGGCTTGATATACCGAATGATACTCAATGGAAAACTTTTGTTTTATATTGGGATAGGTCAAAATTATCGAATTTAACGGTTGTGTGCATTGGCGTACTTTAGATAAATTTATCATTTTCACCAATAGATGTCGCTGATAAAAATACATTTAACCAACCTTTTATATATGGTATTATTATTATTATTATTTTTAATTTAGCCAGAGAATAAATTCTAAGACTAAAGTCTTAAAAGCACTACCATCTAAGGTTTTCGGCTTTATTAAAAACTCTACCGCACTTGAGATTTGAACCCACGACCATTGAGAGCTGCTAGTCGAGACTCTTGGCTACACGGCCACTCAGGCGGATATATAGGGTATTAATTGTGTTATGTTGGAACGAATTTATGCTTGATAAGTTCTGATCGTTTTGGGTAAATATTTGTAATCAATTTCAGGCTGAGATTTTCGTTGACTGCAAACCTATTTGCGGAGGAGTTTATCGGCGAACACGGTAAATATTTTCAATGTCAAATTGTGAATGCACATCACGAATATGTGTAGAAAATTGTACGTTTCTACTAAGCGCAAAGAGAGATGGACAGATAGGCAGATAGGCAAAAATAATTTGGTAAAATAATCCGTTGAAACTTTTATATTCATCATAAGTGTTGGTCGCCTGATTGATTTTTCTGCTGGCTATAAATGAAATACTAAAGTTCGTACACCGTCATACTTCCGGAAAGTGTGTGTGTGTGTGTGTGTGTGTATGTGAGAAAGAGAGAGATTGTAAAAATTTCATTTTATTGATATTGATTGATGTGTGCGTATGTGTGCTTACAATCCAAAAAAAAAAAAAAAAAAAAAAACGTTTATATTACGGCAACACTTAAACATGTAAAAACCAACTGATTCG